ATTGATTTCTACTTTCCCATTTCGTACAATAATTCTGGGTTAAAATTCTATTCTAATATTATAAAATAGTGTAATACAATTCCTATTGTCATGTATACTATATATAAAAACAAAATCCTAAAATTTTAACTTTTCTTCCAATTCCTAAAAAAATCTATCTTCCTAATAAAATAGATTGATTTATACTTTCTCATTCGTACAATAATTCTGAGATAAAATTCTATTCTAATTTTATAAAATCTACTATATATATATATATATATATATATATATATATATATATATATATATATATATATATATATATATATATATATATATATATATATATATATATATATATATATACTAATAAGAGCCCAAGAGAGTTAAGCCTATAATGGGTAGAAAAAATGGCGGTCAAATTTTTTAATCAAATGAATGGCTCAGATTGATCAGATTTTAATTTTTCCTTGACATTTCCTAATTTATCCTTAATGAATATGATTATCCGTTAACTTTTCCGTTAAATATTATCTTTTCCGTTAATTTCTGTTAGTTCACCGTTAACTTACTCATTGATTTCAATATGAAAGGTCTTAGGTTCGAACCACATCCCAATCAAAGCTGGCATAATTAGTAGTTTTGTACTTTATTTTACTCTTATTAAATTAAATAATAATTTAGTAGCTACAACAAAAAATAATACATATGCATTTCTTTAATTTAGAATTATGTGTCTACAATGCCTTTATTTAAAAAAAAAAAATTATTCATTATCAATAAATTAAATAAAAATAATAATTTCATTAGTTATATTGTCTTTATTTTTCTCCAATATAAAAATTCTTTACATTCAAAATTCAAATTCATCAATTGATTATATTTGCTACATTGTCCCTACAATGTCTTTATTAAAAAAAATTTATTCATTATCAATAAATTAATTAAGAGAAATAATTTCATTAGTTACATTTTCTTTATTTTTTTCCAATGTAAAAATTCTTTACATTCAAATTCATCAATTGATTATATTCACTATATTGGCTATTATCTTTTTTGTGCACTATTTTTTAATTAAATATCAAAGTTATAATACAAAATAATGCTATATATTTATTTACCAAGTATTCTATTAATACCATGAAAAGTTTTAAAAATTTTAAATTAATAAAGCCAATTATATTAACTACTTGAGAGATTTGTTGACAAAGAGAGTATTCAAATCACACAACAAATTGAAGTGAGAAACTACCCCGCAATGTCCTTGTTTGACAATCCGCAGTTAGCGGTTAGCGTTAGCGGATTTAACCAGCGAATTATATCAACGGTTGGTAAAAAGATATTTGAAAAAATTAGCTATTTAAATTAACATTTAAAATGACCTAAGGGTATAATAATAATAATAATAATAATAATAATAATAATAATAATAATAATAATTGTTTTAATAATAATTTTTTTAAAAAAATATAGATGTGTTTTGGGGAAATCATTCTCAATAACGTTATGAAAATATTATAAATTGCAATGTTTGTATTTTCAGTGGTTTGGAAGAAATTGTTGCTTCAAACTGTTGAATAACCAAAACAGTTTCTTTAGCATTTTGATATTTGGGTTACATCATATTTACCAATCGTCCAATATCTTTGGGTTACATTATAATTAAAATTTTAAATTTTTACTACATCTAAATTCCTTAAATTAGGAATTTCTTTATCCATAATAATTTATTCAACAATAATGGTTGAACTAAATGAACACTGAGCAAAACACCTAAAGGACTGGTACCGTTGATTTATTCATTGATTTTGTATATATGTGCATTCATTAAATATATTAGAACCCTTTGCAACAAAAATACTTGGTTACTATTTAAAAAAAGTTTAGTAACAATTATAATGAATCTCTTATATTACATTGTATTCATATAATATGAATTACATATTCAAATAAACAAATTAGACATTAAGTTACTTATGTTGAACTTCTCATATATAATCTTGCATTTCTATACTTTCAAATATTTATTTAATTATAAATATTGGATATAAAAAATGACCGTCAAATTATTAAATCAAATGAATAATTCATATTATTCAGATTTTAATTTTTCCTTGAGATTTTCTAATTTATTCGATCCGTTAACTTTTCCATTAAGTATCGTTAATTCACTGTTAGTCTAATTATAATATTAAAGTCTAATATAGAATTATAACTACAACATTAATCTAATTCTAATATTAAAGTCTTAATAGAACTCTAACCACAAATCCTAATGCCGGAATCTCCTCAAACAATATTAGTATATATTTAATATTTTATGTTTTAATTTTTATTTGCTATTCCTCATGTCCCGTATTTGGTTTCAACCATACCCATAAAATTATTTTATTGACAATTATAATCAATCTTTAAATACACAAATTCAACATTCAATTATCTATGCATGAACAATTCTAATATAATCTTGTCTTGATATACTTTAAAATACTTATTTAAGAAAAACATTGGGCATTATCCCAATCGCGCAATGCGCGTAAAAAACTAGTAGTGTAATACAATTCCTATTGTCATCTATCTATACTTCTATACTATATATAAAAACAAAATCTTGAAATTTTAACTTCCCGCCCAATTCCTAAAAAATCTCTCTTCTTAATAAAATATAAACAAAATCTTGAAATTTTAACTTCCCGCCCAATTCCTAAAAAATCTCTCTTCTTAATAAAATATATTAATGTCTACTTTTCCATTCGTACAATAATTATGTGTTAAAATTCTATTCTAATATTATAAAATAGTTTAATACAATTCCTATTGTCATCTATATCTATATTATATATAAAAACAAAATCCTAAAATTTTAACTTCTCTCCCAATTCTTAAAAAATCTCTTTTCCATATAAAACATATTGATTTCTACTTTCCCATTCGTACAATAATTCTGGGTTAAAATTCTATTCTAATATTATAAAATAGTGTAATACAATTCTATTGTCATCTATAGTCTATAGTATATATATATATATATAAACAAAATCCTGAAATTTTTAACTTCCCGCCCTATTCCTAAAAAATCTCTCTTCCTAATAAAATATATTGATTTCTACTTTCCGATTAGTACAATAATTCTGGGTTAAAATTCTATTCGAAGCGGGAAGGCCGGAATCGGCCTACTCCGCATCCGCCTTGCCGGCTGAACCGGCGATTAATTTTTAATTTTTATTTTTTATTTTTTATTTTATGTTGTAAAGTGTCAAAAGTTCGGCAATGCATAACTTTTGACTCGATTTTCCATTTTCGACAAATGTTTTTTTGAAATCACGTATTTTTTCGAGATCTATCCACCCCAAACTGCTGTATGCGGTTTGGCCCACCAATTTAAAAAAAAATGCTTTATTAAATAGTTTTTATGAAAAAACTATTAGAACCTTATGTTTTATTAATGAATTTTAAAAAATTTTTAATTAAAAAATTGTCCCGTGCATTATTTAATAATCTCTCTTTATAATTGGTCAAATTATTTAATTATGGTAAATTATGGAATAATTAATGATAGTAATAGAAATTTTAAAAGAATATTTAATTATGGGAAAATGGCACTTTTTCCCCCTAAGTTATATACTTATAGCACTTTTTCCCCCTGAATTATTTAAGTGGCTCTTTTTCCCCCTGAAATGTTAAATGGACATATTTACCCTTAAAATAAATATTTCATTTATTTTTATTCTCCAACAAATTATTACTATAATTTTGTTCAAACCAAACAGATACTATAGCAACCAAACAAAAATATTCCAATTACAATTTATAATCAAAACGCGATGTTTAGAGTTTATTAAAATCGCGAACTGGAATGGTCGGTTCATGTTCCGAACTGAAAAATAAAATACATTTATTGTTGAATTTAGACTATTTTAAAATAAAAAATAAAATTTTAAAATAAAGACGGTTCAAAATCGCGAACTGGATCCGGAACCGCCGGTTCACAGTTCATGATCCAATTTTTTTTATTCTTAAATGTAATAAATTGAAATTCAAATATTGAGTTCTAAATCTGAATCATAACTGAAAACTTTTAATTCGATTGCTATAGTGTCTGGTTCAGTTCAAACCGAACCGTGGTAATCGCTACATATACGCAATAATTTGTTGGAGAAGTAAAATAAATAAAATGTTTACTTTAAGGGTAGAAATGTCAATTTAATATATTAGGGGGAAAAACCACCACTTTTAAAATAATTGAGGGGGCTAATGTGCTTACATAAATAATTGAGGGGGGAAAAGTGCTATAAGTATATAACTTAGGGGGAAAAAGTGCCATTTTCCCTTTAATTATTGTTATCTTATTATTGTGACTCACGGAATACAATACAAGAATATTTAATTATGGTTATAATATTATTGTGCCTCACGCTCATTATATATTAACAGAACTTGAAAAGAAACTAATAATAATAATAATAATAATAATAATAATAATAATAATATAAGTGGTAATAATAATATCTAAAACTAATTAAGTGTTAATAATAATAGTAAGAATATTAACGTAAGAATTATAACATAGAATAAATCATAATAATTAATAACTATAGTCTAGGATTAAATTTGGAATTGTTAGGAAAGATAAGCGACCTCCGGTGAAATTAACTCTTAAATAATTATATATTGATTTAAATATTCTTAATATATTACAACAATTTCATTCCGTGCATCGCACGGGTGAAAATACTAGTAGGAGCAAAAAAGTAAGAATAAAAATAAAATAAAGAAGAAGAAGAAGAAGAAAGAAAGACATATTCCTTTTCTAAAAAAGAAAGACATATTCAACACATTCCCGATTTTCCATATTAGAATACTACAACAGTACTCACTGCAGGGAGTGCTTGCACGACTTGCAGAATATTCATATATTCCGCGTTGGTTATCTCGATCTCGTGTACGGAGCCTTGACAATTTGCGATCCAGGAAGAGACAATCAATAGTCGTTGAACGGAGAGGTCTCATCCGGAGATATGGAGCTGCCGGAGATGGAATCCATGGCGTCGGCGATCGGGATATCAGTGCCGGTGCTCAGATTTCTCTTATGCTTCGCTGCCACCATTCCGGTAAGCTTAATCCATCGGCTTGTTCCCGGCGGCGCAACCGGGAGGCACATCTATGCCGTCGCGACCGGCGCCGCTCTCTCCTATTTGTCGTTTGGGTTCTCCTCGAATCTCCACTTCTTGGTTCCCATGCTCTTGGGCTACGGTTCGATGCTTATTAACCGTCCTTATTGTGGAGCCATCACTTTCTTATTGGCATTTGGCTACCTCATTGGATGGTATATTTTCTTTCCAGCTCCCTTTCCTCCCTTGGTTTCTAAGATTTAATCTTTTTCTGATTTTGTTAAGTATTTGAGTGATTTTTGATGCATGGGTATTAAGATTTTGAAACTGCATTTATTGGATATAAAAATTAATAATTCAGGGAAAGTACTTAATTTCAATTGCAATTCTATGATTTTTGTGCATTCGTTTATTGAAGGTTTAGCTTTTTCATCTAGTTACCTTAAGGAAAATAAGAAAAAATGTCATGTTAATTCATATTTTTATTTTTCTAGCTATTCTCTACAATGCCATTGGAACTTCCTGGGATTTATTCAAATTGAACATTGAATGCTAGGAGAGAGAGAGAGAGGAGATAAGGGGAGATTTCAAAATATGGAATCTTTTGCCTTTTGCCTTTAGTAATAAAGAATAAACATTCAATTGCATGAAGTTAGAGTTGATTTTTTTTTTTCTTTTTTCAAAATATTCAAAAATTCTTGACTGTGTATATTATACTTGTAGTCACGTATACTACATGAGTGGGGATGCATGGAAAGAAGGAGGAATTGATGCTACAGGTAAAGACTGTACTACCTCTCTATCCACCAATCTTGATTCTGTTTGATTGTAGAGGAATTATTCCTTGCGCCATCTAATTTGTTTATTTATTTAAAAATATTTTAATGGGAGAATCCTACATCAATTTTTCTTTAGTTTGGCTAGAGTTACAGAGTCATTCAAGCCAAAACAGCTCAAATATCATGGGGCATTTAAAAATCAATGAAAGGCCATCAAAAGCCTTTCATTGAAACAATAGCAATACCAACCAAGTTAGACTGGTATCACCTGGCCACCTCGGAATGCAATGCTACTAAGTTTTAGCATTGTGTTTCCGTAATTTAAGGATGTTATATGTGCCATAGCATTGATGAATAAAAGAACAAGTACTTTGTATTTGTGTAAACAGAACACTTTCCTTGCAATATTTTGAGGTATAGATCCTTCTGTTTACAGAGAAAAACTGTCTTCGGTAATCATCCTTTTCCCCCCTTCTAATGGAACTTCTTTAGTTCTATATTTTGTGCACTTGCCGTCAGTGGTAGGAAAAGCTGCTCGAATAAGCTTGATGTTCATTTCATCATCTTAGAAACATATTGTTCCTTATTTATTTATTTTTTCTTTTCATTCTCTTTTTAACTTTTGCTTCTCGTTCTTTGGAAACACTGTTGTAATATATAAGTATTGTGGTAAACTCAATTAGAATTTATATCTACAGTTAATTTCAAGTAGATTCTTATTGACTTTTTTTTTTTTTTTTTTTTTTTTTTTTTTGGGTTTTTCCCCCAATTTTTAGGTGCCTTAATGGTAATTACACTGAAAATCATTTCATGTGTGATGAGTTACCAAGATGGATTGCTGAAAGAGGAAGATTTACGCGAGGCACAGAAAAAAAACCGTTTGCTCAATCGACCATCATTGCTTGAGTACTTTGGTTACTGCCTCTGTTGTGGAAGTCATTTTGCTGGTCCAGTGTATGAAATAAAGGATTACCTTGAGTGGACAGAGAGAAAAGGCGTAAGTAAAGCATGTTGATGTTTTCATTCTGTATTATGATTTCATCATGAAGAATAACTAACTTTTGCAGTTTTGCTCCTGCATTAACTTGTCTAGATCTGGAAGCCTTCAGAGAAAGGGCATCCATCACCTTTTCTGCCAACTTTAAGGGCTATTCTTCAAGCTGGATTTTGTATGGGATTGTATCTATACCTTGTCCCTCATTACCCTCTTTCCAGATTTACTGATTCAGTATACCAAGGGTGGGGATTTTGGAAACGGTTGGGATATCAGTACATGGCTGGCTTCACTGCACGTTGGAAGTATTACTTTATTTGGTCAATCTCAGAAGCCTCTATCATTATTTCTGGTTTGGGTTTCAGTGGTTGGACAGATTCTTCTCCACCAAAACCACGGTGGGACCGTGCAAAAAATGTAGACATATTGGGTGTTGAACTGGCTAAGAGTTCAGTTCAAATACCTCTTGTATGGAACATACAAGTCAGCACCTGGCTACGGCATTGTAAGTCAGTAGTCCTTCTAATTTATACATGTCATTTAGATGAAATTGCATTAAAAGTGCTTCACTTGTGTAGTTGTGGTGGATGCTTGCTTCTTGCTTAATTAGATTGATAAAACTTTACTACTGTCACTATGGCATTGTAAGTTACTTCTTAAAAATCATAAAACCTAACACTGACGTAATCATTCTACCATTTAGTCTTGGTGTTTGGGTAGTTTGCAGATCAGACTAGACTCCTTCCTACTTAAAGTTTGTGCTGGAAACTATGAAGAATGACATTTGTATTGGATGGCACTACTATGCAAAACCATGGTCTGGAGTTATGTAATGAACACATAATTAAGAACCAACTAAAATTTATTCTTTATTGAACTTTTAGGACCACCTAATCCATGGGAGTTGAGAATCTCAAGCTGGTAAATAGCAAGCTGTTGCTCATTTATTGCAGCTGGGTACGGTGGTTTAGGATAATTGAAGTTGGATGGAAGTACTTTTTATTGGATTGACATGCTTGCTCTATGATTAAATACTATGAGTGCTATGGAGTGATAACCATGAAATCTGTGATATAGTCATGGAATATTGATATAGGTTGTCAATAGGATAGGGATTTGTTAGGCGCCAAATGTTTCACTCAGGAACTTTTTATATTGCATCATCTCCTCACAGTAGGGATGGGGACTGGAGAAAAGGGCAAATTGTACCATGGACCAGGGTCTACCTTGCATTGTAGACCCTTGTCCAAAAATAACCTTAAGATTCTGTGATCTATAGTTGACACATTCTATACCTGCAGTTGATATTTTCTGTACCCGTAGTTATCATATTATGTGTCAGCAATTATCAAGTTATCTGTTTACATGTACAGAAACTGTTACTGTAGGTACAGAATGTGTTAACTAAAGGTACATAATTTTTGTATCAGGGTTCACAATGCAATATGAACCCTGGTCCATGGTATAACAATTGGGAGAAATGCCACCTCAGAGAAGAGGATAAAAAACATGGCGAAATATGAGTTTGCCTGGGAAACTAAGAAGTGAAAGTTACGGGCTGAATATTATATATAAATATCCTGTAACTCTGCAAGTTGAAATGGAAATGCACATTTAGAGCAGCCAAGATTCCAAGAACCATGCTGTGATTTTCTAACACTTCATACTCTGTACTTGATTAATATAGTCTTTTAATTGTCTAGATGTCTATGAGAGGCTCATTCGCAAGGGCAAGAAGCCTGGTTTCTTCCAGTTGTTGGCTACTCAGACTGTCAGTGCTGTGTGGCATGTAAGTGAAATTTTTTACCATAAACTCCTTGATTATTATCCCTCTGCCATAAGCTACTTGAATTATTAAAAGTAATGGCATATTATGTTTACTAATTTTCAATGAATAGTACAGCAAATCTTTTGGAATGTGCTGACATTTTCTTGATACAGTTTGGTAACTCAAATATAATTATTATGTGATGCTGACTGTCTGGTTTTTATTTTTATTTTTTGTTTTGACATCTTCTGTATATCACTTTATTGCCACTGTTTCAAGATGGAAGCTTTTCCTATTATTCTCTCCTTCAGTTATGGTTTTCTTCTTAGAGTTTTTGGTTTGTGATCTGTTTACTGCTTTTGCTCTTAAATTTATGTTCCTTGTCAATTGTTCCTCTCATTGATATTTGATTTCAATTTTTATCTCGAACTATACACTTCTTTGGCTGAATTCAAATAAAGTTTTTTTGCCCAAATCTTTAACAGTCTATTATGGACTTGCTTGTCTAACTAGTGGTTCCTCAATATTATTGCAGGGCTTATACCCTGGGTATATTTTTTTCTTTGTTCAATCTGCTCTTATGATTAATGGTTCGAGAGGTAGTAATTTAGCACTTCTCAGATTGTAATTAACATGCCTGAGTATTTCTGTGATTGCTTGCATCTAATCTTGTGTGATCTATGAACAGTCATTTACAGATGGCAGCAGGCTATTGGTAATGCTCTCCTTCGGAACATTCTAGTGTTTATGAACTTTGCCTACACTGTTCTGGTTCTCAATTACTCTTGTGTTGGTTTCATGGTAAGTTCCTGCCTTATCCAAGACTCATTTTTTTTTTTTGGTCAGACCATGAGGTGTCCTGAGCAGGCCCTAACTATAGTCTATAGGAGGCACCTTTAAGCCCGTACCATACTCAGACTAATCCCCGTTCGCACTGGCCCGGCCCAATTAAGGGGCAAAGTGCTGGCCAGATTGATTTTTCCATACGAGAGGGGGTCCTCCCGACCTCTCTTAAGGGACAAGAGTGCACGGCCACTCACGCCAACCAAGCTGGTTATCCAAGACTGATTGTTTTTAATGAATAACGCATAATCTTTGGTAGCTTTATTGTTCACGTCTTGCAGGTATTGAGCCTCCATGAAACACTTGCTTCGTATGGCAGTGTATACTATGTTGGAACAGTTATACCTATTGCATTGATCCTTCTTGGTAATGTAATTAAACCAGCCAGGCCAACGAGATCCAATGCTCGGAAAGATCAGTGAGTTAGGAATTGTTTTTCAAAGATTGTTTCTGAGATTAGAACTTAGATCTTATATCACCTATTTGCTTTGCGAGCATGTGTAGCCCCATTTGAACGATAAAGATTCTTTGCCCTCGTTTTATTGGCATTGTGATTTTCGTTTTCGATTACAGTCAACAACAATTATTAACCCTAACTGTATTACTGATTGAAAGTTTCGGTGCTGGAAGGATTTGAAATGATTGTGTAATACACAATCCATTAAAATTCTTCGCCCGTGCTTGATGTGAAGTCAAAGTGTACTATTACTGTATTACCCTCGTAACTTGTCTTCTAGCTGATAGGATGTCACATGCTGCCCATTCCCTCTTTTTATTTATTGCAGTAGGTGTGGAAATGAAACAGTGAGAACTGGAAAAGGGGGATGAAGGGAACAGAAAAAAACAAAAACGAAATGTGTCTTGGACTTTGATCATATGTGTCTTTCATCATAGTACCTCCTAGGAAACTAAGTGGTTCACAGCTGTTTTATGGACCACGAACAGACGAACTAATCCAATCGACGTAATGCACAAATGTTGTCTTGGTTACTGGTGGAAGTTTGTCCCCGAGTCTTTAGCGTTAGGAATGTTTGATATCAAAGATCCTTTGTGCTATGGCTTCTGCATAGTTGATTGAATACTGATTCCTTTTGTTCCTTTTACTGTACATGGCTAGTTCAATGACTTCTTTTGTGTTCAAATCTACGTGTATGCTAGTTTGCTACGAATAACTACAAATGTTTGCTACTTTGCTAGTTTGGGTTTGATCATTCTCCTGTTCTGTGTATTGTGTTAAGTAGCAATTCTCACGGTTTTCGTTTTAGTTCACCTAATTTTATCATCTTATATTGTGTATTCATAGCATTTATGCGTTGAACCATGTTTGAGTACTTGTAATGCATGATGATTGTTGACCTCCACGGCTCCACCATACTGCATATATTTCTGTCCTGCAAATGCACACCCCACACTTCATTGGCAAATAGCATGCCTTGTTCTTGATGGAAATTTGATTTGTTCTAAGCTAGGAATTGTAGGCCTTATGACCTTGCCTAGCCCTCGGGACATCATTTAATTTAATTGGTTGACCAATTCAAAAAGAGTTAATAACGATGTTCTTTGGCAGTCATAGAGTGTAGGGTTCGCTTCCTACAAGGGGAGGTAGACTTCAGAGAACATGTAGATTGTTGAGACACAATTCACAATTTACCTCAACCAAGAGTTTAGGACAAGTGGAGGTCCTTAGGATTCACAGTGTAAGGTTGAGGAGGTAAATCGCGAGATGTATCTTAACGATCTACATATTCCCTAAACTCTCCCTCTCGTTATAGGAATCCCTTGGGACATCATTTAATTTAATTGGTTGACCAATTCAAAAAGAGTTAATAACGATGTTCTTTGGCAGCCATAGAGTGTAGGGTTCGCTTCCTACAAGGGGAGGTAGACTTCAGAGAACATGTAGATCGTTGAGACACAATTCACAATTTACCTCAACCAAGAGTTTAGGACAAGTGGAGGTCCTTAGGATTCACAGTGTAAGGTTCGATTCCTATAACGAGAGGGAGAGTTTAGGGAATATGTAGATTGTTAAGATACATCTCGCGATTTACCTCCTCAACCAATACTCTAGGACAAGTGGAGGTCCTCGGGAGTCACATTGTAGGGTTTGATTCCTATAAGGACAGAGAGACCTTAGGGAACATATAGATCGTTGAGACACATCTTACAATTTACCTCATCAACCAAGACTCTAGGACAAGCGGAGGTCCTCGGGAGTCACAATGTAAGGTTAGATTCCTACAAGGAGGGGAGACTTTAGGAAACATGTAGATCGTTAAGATACATCTCGCAATTTACCTCATCAACCAAGACTCTAGGACAAGCGGAGGTCCTCGGGAGTCACAGTGTAGGGTTCGATTCCTACAAGGGGAGGGAACTTTAGTGAACATGTAGATCGTTGAGACACATTTCGCAATTTACCTCCTCAACTAAGACTTTATGACAAGTGGAGGTCCTCAGGATTCACAGTATAGGGTTCGATTTCTATAAGGGGAGGTAGACTTTAGGGAACATGTAGATTGTTAAGATACGTCTCGTGATTTACCTCCTCAACCAAGACTCAAGGATAAGTGGAGGTCTTCGGGAGTCACAGTGTAGGGTTCGATTCCTACAAGAGGAGGGAGACTTTAAGGAACATGTAGATTGTTGAGACGCATCTCGCAATTTACCTCCTCAACCAAGACTCTAGGACAAGTGGAGGTTCTCAAGATTCGGGTGCGATCCTTTTAATCACGCCTAAAGGCAGAGGGCATGGTGTTCTAATGGGTCATCCTCCAAAAAAGCTCTGTTCTCTATAAATACTGAACTATTGCTTCTCAAGTACATGGCATTACTTTTGCCATGTTTTAAGATGCTGAATTCTAAAAAATGAACTGGCTTTTGCCCCCACCACCTGATAATATCCCTTCCAGGAAGACTTGTGACTTGTTTATACTAAGCTGAAAAGCACTTCACTTGAATCTTTTATATTATTTTGTGGATCCCCCACAGAATTATGTGCCCATGAAAAAGGCCTCATAAGTCATAGCCATGGCAGGTTGTTCTATTCTTACATGTGCCCATATGCCTTAGGGCATCCTCAATAAATTGGTTTTTGCACAAGAATTAAGAAGCTATATCGGATAGAGATGAGGGAAAGAGAAGAAAGAAAAATCAGAAAAAAAAAACAAAAAATAAAACAAATCTGACAGTTGCAGACTTGTAGGGAAACAAAAAATTAAAAAAAAAAAAAAGCTGAACGCGCTAGGCTGGCAACGCTATGCGCGAAAAGACACACCCTTGGCCTTTTTTTTTTTTTTTTTAAAATTTTCTCTCTCATAGTGGGGCCACAAAAAACTCTAATTTGCAGGAGAAACTTCTTCCCTCTATCTCCTCCATGTTGGTTATTTTATTCTCAAAAATCGTGAAAGATCTACTAATGTAGATGTTCTAGCATCTCATCAGTGGAGTAGCAATGCTTATGTGAAAGAGAGAGAGAGAGAGGTGTGATTTTTGGACTGAACATGTGGGGCTCGCGTGGAGAAAATGTACGTGTCTTGTTTGCGTATTCAGCGTAATTTGCGCACCCGGGTCGCGTAAAAGTTTCTATTTTTTGTTTTCCTCTGACAGTTAGTTTTTTTTTTTAATATATATATATATTTTTTTTACTTTTGTTCTCTCTCAAGTCTCATCTTTCCTTATAATTTGACAAAAGCCCTTAAAAAAATCATGTATATTGTAGATACTCTTAATACTGCAACCGGCAGACATTGTAACATGCACTTATTGGGAAGGCTCTATCTGCTATAATGTGATGAAGTGACATTAATTTTTAATAGTTTATGCAGACTTCATTATCTGTTAACATGTGTCGTCATACTTTTGGTTTAATATAATGTACCACAGAGAAAAAAATGTGGTCCAATCATGTGGTCTGTACGTGAAGGCATGGCATTGTGATTTGGTGCAAAGTGTTACAACACTACATTCTGGAATGTTTCATTTGCTATCATTTGTTTGTATTGTGTTCTGACAAAGGAACAGGCAGTGATGTTAGCTGCAGAGATGGCTAACCACCTGCTGTGTTTGCCTCAACTAAGAAGTGCAATCATTGTCCATCTAAACTGACTGATAACAAACTAGATGGAAAAATCACATAGAGAGCATCCCAACAAACACAAAATGGTTTTTTTTTTTTCTTTATTTTTTGGGTGAGGTGAAAGGGAGAGTGGATAAGAGAGAAGATACATTGTAGTAATGTGGGTTTTATCTGACTTGGCCCCACAAGGAAAAGAACAGAAAACAATGCTGGTGGGTGTTTTTTTTGCACCAATTGTGTTCACTGGGCACGTTGAGGGTGGTCATCAACTCCGACCACCCTCTTGTTTTATTTTGATTTTTTTTTTAATTTTATTTTTTGATTTTTCTATTTCTTTTCTTGACAAAAAAATCCTAGCAGTTTCTGAATCGTTGAGGTTGCTCTTATTGATGAGATTCTTTTTCTTTTTGGTTTTGTTCGATATGATGATATGATATCATTAATACATAGACATTAAACATTTATTATATGAAAGAATGATAATGCTTTACCTATATACGAAAACATTCAAAACTTTTCTAAACATGTGTCTGTGTAAAAGTTTCTGAAAACATTTTTTTTAAAAATATTCTGTAATAAAATTGAAGTCGGGAATGTGTTTTTAGGGTCAAAATAATAATAATAAATTTTTGGGTCAGGGTGAAATCTAAAAATGTTGAGGTTTAATGTTTGGTATACATGAGAATTGAAAGGAATAGAATGATTGGGAATTCCAATTCCAATGTTTGGTATACATGAGAATTGAAAGGGAATAAGTAATATAAAGTCCAAAAAGGGGGCCTTTGGCCCTTCCCTCTACCAAAAAAACAAACAAAAAAAAAATATAAAGTCCAAAATTTAAATTTTGTTTTTGAAATTTTACGTAGTACGCTGTAAATAAACCATGGAATTGCATAACAAAAGCAATAAAATAGATAAGAAAGTTTTGAGAAAACATATTTGCTTGATGTTGGACTACTAATTGACGTTCTGTGTTGAGAGTAGAAGAAAAAAACACACTATAATCGAAATAGAGATGTCAAACATCAACTTTAGGTTAAAAAAGATGGGTAATTTTGTCTCAAAGTTACTTTTTTTCTTCCTAAAATACATGAAATTGAAATACCAAGGGGGAGTGGGGGGATGGGATTCTAATTCCTTGAAAATGAGGAAATTTTAACTCTACGGAATTGCAATTCCCTCTATAATATGGAGCTTTGGCTCCAAAGATCACACAATTATTATTATTTTTTACATTGGGGGCATTTCGGGGTTGAAACAGTTGAATTTATCAGCTGATTGTAAAAAATTATCGGATCAGTTGATAACCAAATAATGTTGAATCCTATGTTATTTGTTTATTCAAATTATACTTACTTGGTGTACACCCCACACCACAGGGGCCCTTTAACTCCCAGTCCAAAGAGAGGATGTAAATCACGGGACATGCCTCAACGACAAGGAATTCTAAGTGTTATTTTTTCACCATAAGTTCTTACCCCTTGCAGGATTCGAACCCAAATTTTTGCTAGCCACAACAACCACACTTAGGTCCTTGTCAATTGAGCTATATATGCCCCGGGGGCAAATTATATTATTATCATTATTATCGCTACAACTACTACTATTACACATTATAATACATAACAACAATAAGATATTAATTTAAAACGAAAATTAGACATTTACAAATATCAGGGTCACCATCGAAATAACTATTTTTCTTAGAAGGTGAATAACTCATGAAAATAAAATAACTTACAAAATAACGAAATAAGTCTATTCTTAAAAATGGAATAGGCGTACTTCATTAAAAAAAAGAAAGAAGATAGAAATCATAAAATTTATACGCAATTCCAATGTTCCAAAAAGGGTATTGCGGACCAACTGTAATGTGTTTGTTTTGGGCATAAAATCATTGTTTTAAGAGATTGCCACCTTTGATAATTGACCTAACAAAAGTAATTTTTTGTTTTTATTTTTCTCCAATATAAAAATTCTTTACATTCAAATTCATTAATTGATTATATTCGTTACATTGTCTATTATCTTTTTTGTGCACTATTTTTTTAATTAAATATCAAAGTTATAATACAAAATAATGTTATGTATTTATTTACCAAGTATTTTATTAATACCGTGAATTTTTTTAAAAAGATATAATTAATAAAGCCAATCATATTAACTACTTGAGGGATTTGTTGACAAAGATAATATTCAAATCACACAACAAATTGAAGTGAGAACTATCTCTCAATGTTCTTGTTTAACAATCAGCAGTTAGCGATTAGCGATTAGCGTTAGCGGATTATATTAGCGAATCATATTAACTACTTGAGAAATTTATTGACAAAAAAAGTATTCAAATCACACAACAATTTGAAGTGGAAAATTATATCGCAATGTCCTTGTTTGGCAATCAGCAGTTAGCTCTTCAATATTAGTATATATATATTTAATATTTTATGCCCTGATTTTTATTTGCTCTCTCTTATGTTCCCTATTTGGTTTCAACCATACCTATTCAATTATTTTATTGACAATTATAATCAATCTTGACTATATTATCTTGTATTTGTAAACTTAGAATTACCTATTTAAATACGCAAATTCAATATTCAATTATCTATGCATGAACAATTTCAATATAATCTTGCCTTGATATACTTTAAAGTACTTATTTAAAAAAAAAAACATTGGGCATTATCCCAATCGCGCAATGCGCGTAAAAAAATAGTTTTGCAATAAGTCAGTAGGCGAATTAAAATAACAGAATCCAGTTTAGCAAAGAGGAAGAAATAGAGGAAAAAGCTCAAATGGTTCAGTGGGCAGTATTTGGAAAAAGAGATCAAAGTTCAAATTTTGGCAGTGGTAGTGTGAGAATTATGTCTAAAGTGGACAGATTTCTTGTGCGCACCGACATTTGGCCCTGTCCGCTGAACCATTGAGTCACCGTGATTTACATCCTCTCAAATGCTCTGTCGAGCCGGGGTGTGGGGGGCTTTAGGGTTGTGGATTCAACCTTTTAGGGTCGTTTGGTTCACGGAATGTCAGATTACCTTAGGAAATGTTAGATTGCTGGGAATGTTAGATTACTGGAATGTTAGATTCCTGTGTTTGGTTAAAATTGGGGTATGTAATATAATCATGTTTGGTTTAGGATTATCTTTTATTCACACACTATAATATCCTTAACATATTTTCATATATTTTAATAAATTTAAAAATTAAAATAAATAAATAAGATAACGGTATCATATATAATTACATTATTTTAAAATATTAACAAAAATATTGAACTTGAGAAACAAAATTATTTTATATGCTAACCTAACATAATAAAAATAAAAAATATATAATTACAAAAATAATTATATATGTGTGTGTGTGTGTGATAAACTAACATAACCAAGGTTATCTTACATAACCTTAGAAATTGAAGGGAATCACATTCCCTTCAAAATCCTATGTGGAGGGAATGTGACATTCCTGGGGAATGTTAGATTCCCTGAGATAATGTGAACCAAACATAGGAATGTGAGCTTTGGAATGTCACATTCCCTTGGTTATGTTATATAACCTGAACCAAACGCCCCCTTAGAAGAAGAAACATAGGCAAAAGCTAAGAGACAAAAGGAAACTCGTGGATACTTCGTATGTTGGAAACTCACACGGAAGAAACGGTACAAGGAATCTGTCATGTCCGTATAGTTACTAGGGTTTTACAAGTATTTTCAAAAACTCAAAGATATCGATTTAAATTGATTAAATTGATTTAGAATTACTTTTAACACCTCGATCTAGTTTTCTATTGAAAGGAGTTTTTTTTTTTTTTTTTTTTTTTTTTTTGGAGTAAGGTCTTGGGTATCTCCTTCCTCATGATCTAAAACAATAAAAAAAAGTTGTCTCGAAAGGCATCATCAAGTGAGACAAGTATATACTACAAGTTTTCTCAGTACTCGAAAAAAAAGGGTTGATTGAAATTGGAATGGTTTCCTTAAAAAAAATTTAGAATGATTTCTTTGGCTGCTTGAGTAAGGTCTTGGGTTCAAATCTTGTTAAAGAGAGACAAGTATTAATTTGTGTTTATTTCATTTTTTTTTTTTTATAGTTGTACCCTCAGTCTATCTAATGTTCAAAACCTTTTCACAGGTGAAAAAGGTGATTGAATGAGTAAGTATAATTCTCGTACCAAAAGTAAGATTTAATCAATGTACATCCTTGAACAGTAACAACGACTTCCCGTTGTTATATAAAAAAAAAAAAATTTTTTTAAAAAACATTTTTCTAAACAAGTTTGTAACTAATCCAAATCGGACAAAATCGAATAGATCAGTTTGGTCTTTTAATTTATTTAAATTATTATAAACCATTAACTCAGTTTAATTCTAATTTTATTTGGTTGTTTGAGGTTGTTCATGCCTGGAAGTTACACAAACATATTTTTGGAGATTATGAATGTTGGACTGTCAACACCAAATATGGCAGCCTTAATAAAAAAAGAAAAAAGTCCATAAAAATATAAATTTTTAAAAAGAAAATTAAAATAATTAAATAAAAAAAAGTAAAACAGAAAGAATTCTGCAGCCTGCTCTGATTTATATATCCCAACAAACACAATACATTCCCTTTCTCCCTCAGTCCTCACCCACCCCCCCCCCCCCCCCCCTCCCTGTCTCTCTGCATATAAATGTGCATTCACAAAGCTCTTAAATTCCCATTATGAACAGAGACATGTTGAGAACCAAGAAGACCAAGTCCGCCGTCACCGGAGCTTTGTCGCCGGCGAAGACCGGCGGCCGTGGTGGTGGTGATGAGGCGGCTGTGTGGGAGGTCAGGCCAGGAGGGATGTTAGTGCAGAAAAGGAGTTCAGACTGTAATCAAAGCAGTGCTACAATTCCCACAATCAAAGTCAAAGTCAAGTATGGTTCATCTTATCATGAAGCCAAAATCAGTTCTCAGGCAACTTTTGGTATGTTTCTTGTCACTTCCATGATCCATCTGATGATTTCAGTTCATATATATTTTCTTTGTTTGTTAAGTTTAGAAATGTCAATCTTAGTCCGAAATTAATGGGTTGGCCTGGTTAGAGAAAGAAAAAAGTTTAGTCTAATTTGTCTCATAGCCTAACATAGTTGGTCTGAAATCGAGTTATTTGGGTTGAACCCATAAACTTTTGTTTGAGTTTTGTTTCTTTTACCTAATAATATGTTTCTGTCTAGAAATGTCAATCTTAATTTGAAAGCGGTGGGTTAGTCTAGTTAAGGCATTTAGAAGTTTAGCCTAATTAGCGTAACAACCTAACATGATTATTGGTTAAAAATCGCGAGTTATTTAAGTTGAACCTATAAACTTTTGTTTAAATTTGGTTCTAATACATAATTTTAATTGAAAGGGTTCAAACCAAAAAATATGTTTCATGACCTCGTCTAACCTTAAATTCTTAATAGTCTAACATGTCTAGCCAGAAACAAAGTTGGTTAGCCTGAATGACATCTCTAGTTCCGTTAACACTAACATGGCGTTTGGTTGGAGGGATTTTAAATTCCTTTCCCACTTAATTTCCACCTAATTCCAAAGGCCATTAAATTTCATAGTTTGGTTGGAGGGAATTGCAATTCCCCTATTTTCATGGAATTAAAATCTTATGTCCCCCTCTGGTATTTTAATTCCTGGGAAAAAAAAATAGTGATGAGTCAAAATTACCCCTTCCTTTTTTAACCTAAAATTACTGTCTAACAACAATAATGGACATTTTTGACTTTATACTACTTATTCCCTTTCAATTCCTATGTATACCAAACATTGGAATTGAAATTGCCAGTAATTTTATTCCTATCAACCAAACACTGGAATTTAAATTCCCACTTTATTCCCAGTAATTCAACTCCCATGGAATTACAATTTCTTTCCCACATAATTCCCCCCTCCAACCAAACGCCCTGTAAATGCCTGAATTGAACTCGTAACTTTTTGTTTGGGTAAGATTCTGATACCTAATTAAAAGGGATCGGACAGAAAAACTTGTTTCATGACCTCAGTCTAACCTTAAATTCTTAGTAGTCTAACATGTCTAGCCAGAAACAGAGTAGGCTTGCCTAAATGACATCCCTAGTTCCGTTTACACTAAATGCCTGAACTGAACTCGTGAACTTTTGTTTGGGTATGATTCCGATACTTAATTGAAAGGGCTCGATCGGACAGAAAAACCTGTTTCATGACCTTGGTCAAACCTTAAATTCTTTAACGAAAAAATTGCAGGGGAGTTGAAGAAAGTGGTGGCAAGGGCAACAGGGCTGCACCCAGAAGAACAGAAGCTGATGTACAAGGATAGAGAGAGAGATTCAAGAACATTTCTGGACGTTGCAGGAGTGAGAGATGGATCAAAGGTGGTGTTAATGGAGGACGAAGTGAGCAGAGAAAGGAGGTATGTGGAGTCGCAGAAGACGGCGAAAATGGAGGCTGCATCAAGGGAAATCAAAGCAGTCAGGCTGGAAATAGACAAGCTTGCCAAGCAGGTATTATGTGTTTTTTTGGGATCAAACTATAATGTTAGTTTAAGATTTGGTTCTTAGGCTTAATTGTGTTGGTGGATTTGGGAAGGTGGCAGATGTTGAAATGGACGTTTATGGTGGAAAGAAGGTGGCTGAGACAGTTATATTGAACATGATTGAGGTATTAATGACGGAGCTGATAAAGTTGGATGGAATTGCTGCTGAGGGTGATGTGAAGTTGCAGAGAAGAATGCAGGTATAATACTCTATCCAATTCCATTTTTTTTTTTCCTTTTTATCGATATGGAACGAAGATGAATGAGGATGAGAATGCTTGGCAATGGAGGAGTCGTCAAACGAGATTAATAAAAAAAAGAATAAGGTTCAAATAGACCATTGAACTGCACACGAGAATGTAATTAGGCCACTGAACCTAAAAAATTTACAATTGAGTCCTTAAACTAACCAATTTCATTCAATTTGTCTATTTTTCAGGTTTCTCAAGTTGCTAACAAGTTATCATTTCACCTACGATGCATATGTGGTATTTAAAAAAAAATTAAATTTGTTTTTCTAATGTTTAATAAATAAAAACTAAAATAATTTATTTTTAAATTAATTTTTTAATATTTAATAAATAAAAACTAAAACAATTTTTTTTTTTGAAAATAAAATCTAAGCCCCTGTACGATATTTTATTTAAAAAAAAACAAATTATTTTAGTTTTAATTTATTAAACATTAAAAAACTAATTTAAAAATAAATTATTTTAGTTTTTATTTATTAAATATTAAAAAACTAATTTAAAAAAATAAATTATTTTTTAAAAAAATGTCACATATGCATCATAGGTAGAGGGGTAACCTTTTAGCAACTTGAGAAACTTGAAAAATGGACAAATTGAATGATATTGGTTACCAAGACTATGTGGTCTAATGGTACCCGGGTTGGATTTCCATTTGGAAGGTTACGTGTTTGAGCCTCAGTGGAGGCGTTATTGGTTCTTTGTGTTTCAGTAGGTTGAGAAAGTATATGAACAGATACTACAATGTAATAGGGCCAGCAACATCCAAAAAAGATGAAAAATAAAATAAATTTAGAAACTACTATCTTATTTTTGAAATATTATTAAATAGAGCTTATAGCTTATTAGTAACTTAAAATAAAGTATAAATTCTTAAATAAGCCTGGAAAAACAGAGCCTACATTGTTTAAATTTTTTTTAAACTTTTTTGATCAATTTGGAGATGGTAAGAATTTTTGACCACCCATTGAACTTATACAATAGGGCAGAAACCATGATTTATGAACATTGTAAATTTTTGGATTTTTGATAAAGTATTTCTATTGTGGTTGTTTGAAAACCTTTTTACACTAAGGCCCTATTTGGTAAATGGCTGTTAGCTGATTATGTTAATTAGAGGGTATAACTTGGAATAAAGTTCAAATGCGGCGGGGTCTTCCCGTGCGGCGATGTGGCGAAATTTCAGAATACACCAACAATGTTAATAATATACACCAATAGTGTATGAAAAACACACCACAATGAAATGCAATAAAACGTCACAAAATACACAGCAGACCCAAAAAAAATACACCATCTAACTCACCACTCCCAATGGTGTATTTCCGAACATTGTATGGTGTTTTTACTCACACCTAATGGTGTGTGTTTGGTGATGCGTATCTAATTTTCCTCTGATTTTTTGTGGTGTATTTTCTTAACGTTGATGGTGTATATTTGTTGAACTATTGGTGATGCCGCACCGTAAGACACTGCCGCACCTGAACTCGCCTCGTATAACTAGTTGATAATATTAGTTGTTCTAGAAAAGTGTTTGGTAAATTAGCTGTTTGATATCATTTCTTTTCTGAAAAAACTAATTGAAAAAGTTGCTTGGAGTAACTTTTTGAATTTTAACATTTTGGAGTTGCAAAAAGCTAATTAACCAAACACTTACAGGGTGTTTGGTTGGAGGGATTTTAAATTCCCTTCCCACTTAATTCCCACCTAATTCCAAAGGCCATTAAATTCCGTAGTTTGGTTGGAGAGAATTGCAATTCCCCCATTTTTATGGAATTAAAATCCCATGTCCCCCCTGAGATTTTAATTTCTGGGAAAAAAAGATAGTGATGAGTCAAAATTATCCATTTCTTTTTTAACATAAAATTAATGTCTAACAACAATAATGGACATTTTTGACTTTATACTACTTTTTCCCTTTCAATTCCCATGTATACCAAACATTGGAATTGAAATTCCCAGTAATTATATTCCTGTCAACCAAACACAGGAATTTAAATTCCCACTTTATTCCCAGTAATTCAACTCCCATGGAATTACAATTCTTTTCCCACATAATTCCCCCCTCCAACCAAACGCCCTGTTATAACTAAATCAAACAATTAATAGTGGTCAAATAAGTTAAATATGCCAATTTTTTATCAAACAGGGCTTAAGTGTTTTTTGTTTTTTTGTTTTTTTAAAAATATATAATTTCTAAACTACTTGATGGTTGGAAATTCAATGATTACTTGTTCAATAATCTAATTATTTAAATTTTTTGACGATCAATGTTGGTGTTTATTGTTGCTCCATTTTGATTGGCGGTCGATTATACTGATTGTCATTTTTCTAATCCCTTAAGTGATTCTTTTACTGCAAATTTAAGAACATTCACCACTTTTTAGTGGTTGAAGATTTTAAGTTTTGGCAAAAATTTTCTTTGTACCACTCATTGAAGGTGATCAATAGGGGAGAACCCATGAGTTTTGGACTCTTGCAAAAAAAAAAAAAAAAGAAAGAGTTTTTGTAAGAAACCAAAGTTGTTTCTCTTATGGCTGTGAGAAAAATTTTTCACACTACATTTCAAATAATTTTAAATTTCCTCTGGTGGTTAGAAATCTGATTAATTGTTTAGTGACATAATAGTCTAAAATTCCAAACATTAGTATTGGTGGTTACTTAAATTTTTTTTTTTTAATGTAAACTTTAAATTTTCAACCACTTTTCTATAGTTGAAAATTTTAGAAGCAGTGATACTCAATTACATGAACGAATAGTAGTTATCATTAATTACATGCCGCAGTAACCTTTAAACAATTCCCCAATTCTAAGGGCGTCCACAATAAATAGTTTTTAGGTGATATTTTGCGGGGGCCAAATATAAGTGGAAAAGAGAGAAATATGAGAGAAAATGTTTTAGATTCTTTTGCAAGGACCTTAATTTTTCATTTTAAAGTAGGCGCCACCAAATATGAAAAAGATCATGCTGATTCGGGTGAGGCACAACCAAATCACCCAGCCGGGCGCGTGCACACCATGTGCCCGCTAAGCGTGGTTTTTTTTTCCTGTTCTCTCTCCTACTCAATTTTGCAAAGATTCTTAAAAAATTATACATAATGAGGATGCTCTAAAGGTGTTGGTACAATGATAACATTGATGATTTGGTGCAGGTGAAGAGGGTGCAAAAATACATAGAGACTCTAGACATGCTCAAGGTAAAAAATTGTACCCTTCAAAGCAACAGTAAAAATATAAGAGTAGCATTCCAGCAACAAAATAGAATTACCACGGGCCAGATTATGCCACCAGCACCAATGTACAACCAACAAAAGCACAAGAATATAGGTGGTGGGAGATTTCTTGCCGGGCCTGTTGTGGTAACAACACAATGGGAAACTTTCTAACCTCAAAGCATCATAAATTTACCTGTGGTTATGTGAATATAAGTTTATCAGAGCATTTTCTTTATGCTTCGCACTTGTCTCCCCCTTTTATTTTTTATTTATTCAAACGAGTCTTCATTTGCATAATTTGCGAAAATATTTGTCCAATATCAATGCTTGAATTTCAATGTTAAAATAAAAATAATTTGAGAAAATAATATAAAATAAAATAAATAAAAACAAGCTAAGTCACATAATCCCTATTATATATATTGAAATGTGTGGTAACCCATTCCCAGGCAAGTGCTTTAAGAAATAAAGAAATTATGTCTCCAAACATAGCTCAATTGATCAATCGATCCAAAATAAATTAAGAGGTTTTATTTTGCCGACAGTTACAGGGGTGCAGTGTTCGGATCTAAATCATCATTAAATATATTTAGATAAATTGATTTGATATTTAATGAGAAAAATTTATTGAATAAAAAATAAAGAGTATAATATTTTCAGGGCAATGCATAACTCTACAAACACTAAAACATGAACATGATTTAAGAATACTAACATAGGTTCCTCTTACGTACATAGTTTTCAGGGATTCCATTTGTGATTTGGGACCAATGAAACATGCCAGCACATTAGGCTCTTGAGCCAAACTTTTTATTAGATGTCACTCATGGAAATATGATTATTCCTTAACTGGAAGTGCATAAAATATTTGCTTGTTATGAGGCACCACATGATAATTATTAATTATACTTTCTTGATAATTATTACTCCAAGCCAAGGAGTCTAGCAACACCAAGTTGCTCCCCTATATGGGAGGTTGTGGGTTTGAGTTTCAATGGAGGTGGACTATTGACTTTTTGTGTTTCACTAGGTTGAGAAAGTAGTTATAAAATGATTATTACTCCATCTGTCATGTTTTATATGTTTGGTTCAGTTAACTAGGCTTGACTGGAGTTATTTTTAATTTATTTTTCATAATATTAAGTTCAGTGTTAGTATACGAAATTTATATATTTAGAAACTACAATAAAAGTACTATTAAACACAAACAAATCAAATTTAAAAATAAGTAAAAAATAATAAAGAAAATAAACAAATAGTAAGACAGATATTATATATATTGTCTGACCAGAGATTTTTATTGGTAAGGTACACTAAGTCTCCACACATAGAGAATAATTATGTTCGTGTCAGGTAAGATCTCAATAAGTTTATTAGTGCTCATCAAATAAAATTGCACATTTTAGATGAAGAACATCGAATGTTTACTCGACCACATGGTATTGGCATAATATTTAAGGATAAAGTACAAATAAGCCACTGAACTATTTGGGAAATAGCAATTAAGCCACCGAACTCAAATAACCCCCTGATAGTACTAATTCCCGGTAGTCGGTTATACTCGTAGAATGTAGGTATTGTATGTAATATGTATGTATAAGGTATGAACAAGACAAGAGAGACATAGCTTAAAGGTATTTTATTCATAAGTGTTCTTCTTTGGTTTTTTAGAGGGAAGGGGGAGAGTAGTATGTTTAGAGGGAGAGGGAGCAAGTGGAGAATGAGTGGGATCCTTAAAATTGGAGTGCTAGAAGCCCTTTTATACCCATGGTGGCGGGTTTGACACGTCACCTCCGACTTGAACCCGTGGACCGGGTTCCGAACCGCTTGACCCTGACCTGACTATAAACGTGCCCATGGACGTACAGGTGGTCGGTGTCGGGATATATATCCTATCAAGAGCCCCCCCAGCCCGTGCCCTGACGATGAGCTAACGAAGAAGGGTTCGGGCTGGAAAAACTATTTACATGGTCTGTGACATGCGTCGGTTGCCTCGTTAAAAACCTTAAGCTGATAAAAAACCCAGTGGGAAAAAATTTAGCGTAGGAAAAAAGAGCACAACTTTGAGCGCAGTCTGGTGGACCAAAAGGGAGCGCCCGACCTAGTGGTCGGACTTGCAACGCAATTTGCGAGATCATACTTTGTCGGTCCAACGATCGGACTGGTGCATATGATCGGGAAGTTGATTTGATTGTGATCTGAAGAGATCTACTTTGCCAATTACGGGGTTGGACGGGATTTGGATTTACTTGAGATTAACGGATCGAACTCTTGCGGGGCAAAAGAAATCAAATTGTACCGATCTTAGGTATTGACTTGTGCCAATCGGGAGATTGGATTTACTCGCGACCTAAGGATCGAAATCGACTCATCCAGAGACTGGGTTTGCAAGGAAAGCTACTAATTACTTTTTGTCAATCATGCGTGTAACACCCCGTGTTACGCCCTCTAATCCCAGATTAATTATTTAAAAGAATAGTTAAAAATGATTTAATCTAGCCAGGATCCCTTAATTAATTAATGTGGTCCACGAAGGACCGTGGACCCTTGTTTATAATAAGGACTTTAAGTCTATTAGGAATAAAGAAAGTGAGCCTTTACTACTCAGATTCTAATTAGGAATCCTAGACCTATATACCTGTTAGGAATAGAAAGAAGGTCTTTACTATTTAGACTCTGATTAGGATTCCTAACTCTATAAATAGGGGATTAGAAAGCAATTAGAACCCTTACCACCCATAGTTATATTACACGAAATTATTCCCAAGAGATTCCCCACCACCAAGCCTAGGGAGATCAATCGGAGGGAAATCTTAGAGAAAAACCTTAATAGCCAAGGGAGGATTAATTAAGGCTAAGGGTAACCTATGTCTTACAAAACCTATTTTCCTTGCTATATCTTGATTATTGGCTCCTTTGATGTGTGATTCTGTGATTGAGTCTTGATAGAGCTTTGGGTAGGATTTATGTTGTGTTTATTTGATAATCTTGATGTTGTGGTTGATTATATGTGTGATCTTGTATTTAATTATGTCTAGAGCTTGTCCCTAGGGTATATATCGTGAATCTCGTGTTATGATATTCTTGGTGTTGTTGGGTGGGTTTATGCATGTTCGGGTGTTGAGTCTAGCCTACGACTTGTCTTTAGGGCTTTGCATATAGATTTCTTGATGTTCTTGAGGTTCCGGATGCTCCTAAACCGTTATGTGATTGATGTTGAGTCTTGGCATGTTTAGGATCGTGTTAGAACGTAATTGGAATGATTCTTGGTTTAATCTTCGTTAATTGAATCCATGATTTTGTTGTTGCGTGTCAAAATGTGTTTGGACATGGTTTTGGGTTCCACGAACAAACCCCAAACCGGGAAAATATACCTTCTTACAGTGGGGGCGGGGGGGGGGGAGGGGGGTAGGTGGAGGGACGAGCCCCACCACCTACCCACTGCCCGGTTGCCCAGTTCCAGCGGGCAGCCGGCGGGCAGTGGTCTACGGGATATGACGCCCCACCGGTGGGTGGTCCACCACCCACCGCCCACCCGTTGGAAATTGGAGGCATGTTGTGATGTTTTTCCCCGTTTGTTGTTTCCCCGTGTCCCGTTGTACCCCGTTTGATGTTTATGAGTCTCGTACGATGTTTTGAGTACCGTGCTAGGAATTTGTGTGTAGCGTGTGTCGTTTACCAATATGCCTTAATTGTTATTGTTGATTACATGATTGATTGATTGAATGATGATGGGTACCGTGGTCATTGCGCAATGATCGATGTGATTGATGATGATGAGATTGTGATTGGTGGAGATGAATTGTTGGCGGAAAGCACAACGAGTGCTCGGTTATCGTGCTAAAGGCACAGACCACCCCTTAGACTTGCTGGCTAAAGGCTTGGGTCAGGGTATAAGTGTCGCGGTGTCATGTTAGAGCTATATGCGCAGACCCCTTGGTATTGCTGCTAGAGGCACGGACCATGCGAATGACACTTCAGTGCTACCATGTTGGTGGACTTGTTGGTGGTTACAGAGTGGGGCATGTAGTAGCTCTGGAGGAATAAGGGCGATATAAGGGTGGCCTGGAGGTACAGGTTGGAACTGATATAAGGATGGAGAGGAGTAAAAAGGTTGGAACTTGGTATAAGGTTGGAAGATGGATGGTGTGCTTTGATGATTACTTGCTAATGATTGTCTTTGAATCCCATTGTTGCCTCTATTTGCTATTTATGAGCTTGCTTGTCTATTATGCCTTGCCTTGTGTTCTTAGGAGGCATGCTAGTCTTTATGATTATTTTATAGTGTCCAGTCTATTGTTGTGTCTTGAGTCTTGATCTTGGTTTAAAGCTAGAGTTGCTTAAGTTATATATGTATTCTAGTTTCAAAATTATTTTCTTATATCTACCTATATTGTACTTAACGCATGGGAGTGGGTTACTAGCATTATTCGCTGACGGTTGTTACACCATATGTTTTTCAAGTGCAGATCAGTATCTTCGGAGCGCGTTAGATGAACTCGTGGATTTAGCTTAGTATTAGTTAGATGGCCTGTGAGCCTTTAACTGTATTGTGGATAGTAATAATAATTTATGCCTTGTTCAGTTAGTCTAGCCTGTGCATCTAGGTTCTCAGACCTAGATGTGGCATAGCACCCCGATACTTATGTTGTTAGTTCCGCTTTGTTTGAATGATTAATGATAGATTTGCCTTTATTTCATAGGCTTTAAATGTTTTAAAATTAGGGGTGTTACAATGCGGATCTTAGACTAGAACGCTTTTCCCGCCCTACTTGGGCTTGGCCGGTTGCGACTATTTTCGAGCTCGGTTGTGACTATTTTCGAGCTCGGTCAAACTTCGATCTAAAGCAATCGACAAAAAAGATCGCTCTTAACTGATTCGCGTTTGGCTAGTTTTGATTATTGCACTAATCACTAAGATTTGCTTTCGAGAACTAAGAATTATTCGAGCATGGTTTACGAACCGAAAGTCCCGGGCAGAGGGATACTAAGAGACTTGATGGTCTGATGATACGAGATGCGTTTCGAAAATGATAATCAGATGAACGGGGAGTGTGCTCCATTTTATGCTCAGTTTTGTGGACCGAGAGCCCCCCAAGTGATGGGGTCGCTAAGAGACTCGAAGGTCTAACGATGACGAGACCACGGAGGTCATTTTTTGACCAAGATGTGACGACGAGACCGGGAAAGTTGGTCTACTCGAGCAGCAC